GTCCAACTCTCCCTTTAGATCTCTTTCATTAATTTGAATAACTCAAACACTATTCAAGGGTTTACAAAATAGACTCCCTCTACACTCTACTTGATTAGATATCCACACAACTACTTATCTGACCACAACTCCCTTGTGGATTTCTTAGTTCGAATCCCTCAAACTAAACAGAATGAACCTCCGAACACTCTGTTACAAACTCTCAGAATAAGGTATATATAAATTCTCACTTCGCTCAAATAAACAAGGTATGCTCTCACAAAAGAAAATGAATAACCGAAGTGATAAAGTCGTCCTCCACATGTGTGTAGTTCTCCTTTTATCCTCGAGCATCAATTGGTATGTATGTCCTTTTCTTTGCATCCAAGTCAAATATAAACAAGGAAGGTCTTTAATTTAGGAATCCCGCGATCTCTCTCTCTCTCTTGCGTTTAAGGAAGTTGAATCCCGCACTTGATCTTCATTGACCTGCCAAAATAAACCACATTTATTAGTCAATTAATCTTTAATATAAAAGGGTTTTTTTTATCCAACTAAAAACAAACTTCTCTTAATTACACTCGCGATTTTCTGACTGCTGTGAATCCAGAAAGTTAATCGATATACTGCCAATCTTCAAAACTTACAATTATTATTATTATTATTATTAAATATATAAATATTCTTAATTGCCTTATTATTATTATTATTATTATTATTATTATTATTATTATTATTATTATTATTTTTCTTAAAAATTGATTAATTGCTAAATTGCTAATAACTATGTATTAAATATTATTGTGTATTATATATATAAATAAATATAAATGCTTGTCCATTATTTATTTATTCGTAACGTTCAATCGAGTCGTAAGCCCGAGACCCGCGCCCTATGGCCTTACCCGGTTCGTTTCCCTCTCTTGTGGGTTACCTAACTTGATTGGCAAGTAAAACTTAACCCTAGTATTATTTTTTTTTATTTTTTTTTCACGAAACGATAGAGATATATATAAACTCAAAACGAACAATGTTCGAATAGTACAGGCCAAACCCGAAAAAACTAAAACTGAGAGGACATGCACAAGGCGGCCTAGAACCTCAACAAAGGACTACAACTAGAAGAAACAAACAACACTCCACTGCCCGAAGGCCTAGAGATGAAAAAAAACTACTACAAGCAACATAAAACCGAACAATCCACAAACAGCTATGAAGCTAAAAAAAGACAAATAGATCAGAGATTGGAAGAGTGAGCATGAGAAAAATCCATCCAGTCCTGCAGAGCTGCTTTAAGAACCAAATGGATAGGCATAAGAGAGTTTTGGAAGAGGCTGAGGTTGCGGGTTTACCAGAGCCACCAGAGGATGTATGTTGACAATGGAAAATGGGCCTCTGATATTTCTGAATTGTCCACTGAGCAGACATGAAGTCACCAGCTTTTGAAGGATAGATCTTGAGAGTGATTGATGTTCCAAGTGACAGTGGATATGTGCCATAACTCAACTGCCATTTTGCAATGGAATAAAATATGAGGGACAGATTCAGGGGCTTCTCCACATATAGAGCAGATCACATCAAGCTGCAGCCCTTTCTTGATCAAATTTGTTTTGGCAGCAAGGCAGTTAGTGAGGCATTTCCAAACAAATAATTTAACCTTCCCCATCACTTTCAATTTCCACAATCTGTTGTTTGTTTTGATCAAGGTTCTAGCACTCAAATTGCTACAACTTGTCAAGTCCAGAGATAGAAGTTTTTGCTTGATTAAGAATGAGTAAGTGCTAGAAACATGTACCTTTGGTGTGGAATTTCCAGAACTGCTTATCTGCAGAGTTAGGCTTGAGAGTTTTGATGTTGAGGATGGCTTTGCTGTCTTCCTCATTGAAGACTTGATTGATTAACCAAGCATTCCACTCCAGACCATTATTTGTGATCAATTCCTTCACCCAAATTAAGTGGCCCTCAGCAAACTCCAGCAAAGAAAGCTTGAGGTGACTGAGTTGAGGCACCCAGTTCACATCTGAAATTCTTGTTGATTCTCCAGATCTAATCATCGTAGCATAGCCTTTTGCAAAGGTTGGGATGGCATCAAGCCAATTTGACCATAACCAGGAACATTTCTGGGTCTTAACAGCCTCAAAAATTGAACTATGAGGGTAATACATGTCCTTCAGCAGCTTACTGACCAACAGGTTAGGTTGCGTGGTGATTCTCCATAATTGTTTGCAGATAAGAGCTACATTTAGAAGCTGCAAGTCAAGAAAGCCTAAACCTCCCTCATCTTTAGGAATTGTGAGCAGATGCCAGGCTTTCCAATGGATCCCTTGAGAGGGCTCTTCCCCAGAATTCCACCGAAAATTAGAGCACAATTTTGAAATTGTAGCACAGAGGGTTTTGGGAAGCCTGAAGCATGACATAGAAAAGATTGGGAGGGCTTGAAGAACTGCTTTGATGAGCACAACTTTACCAGCTTGGGATAGGAGCTTGGATTTCCAACTTTGAAGCTTTGCTTGAACAGAGTCCACAATGTAACTGAAGGTTTCAACCATAGACTTCCCAATGCCCAGAGGGAGGCCTAAATATTTAGTAGACCTGTGAGGAGTGATACCATCAAGGACTGTACAGATGGTGGACTTTAGGTGGTCAGAAGAGTTTCTGCTAAAAAACACAGAAGACTTGCTTAAATTAACTGTTTGCCCAGTGAAAAGTTTGTATCTCTCCAAGATTGAAGGAATTGTGTAGGCCTAATCACTGCTAGCTTTGCAGACGAACATGGAGTCATCTGCAAAGAGTAAGTAAGAGATTGTGGGGCCATTCTTGAAGAGTTTTAACCCTAATAAAGAACCTGAGGAGAGAGCATCTGAAACCAAAGCAGAAAGAACTTCAACAACAATTATGAATAAGTAAGGGGATAGTGGATCCCCTTGTCTAATTCCTCTTGAAGGTAAGACATAGCCACATACATTTCCATTTACTTTGAAACAGTAAGAACAAGAAGAAATGCAGATCATGATTAATTTGACAAAGTTGCTGTGAAATCCCATCTGCAGCATAATCTTCTTAATACATATCCACTCAACTCTGTCGAAGGCTTTCATAAGATCAAGTTTCAGAGCCATAAAGCAGTTCTTCCCTGAGTTGTGCCTATTCAGAAAATTGAAAGCTTCCTGCCCCACAATGATGTTGTCCATAAGCTGTCTGCCCTTAATAAAGGCAGACTGAGAGTCACTGATACAAACATCCAAACAGTTTTGCAACCTAGTAGCAAGAAGTTTGGAGAGAATTTTGTAGACTACTGAGCAAAGACTGATTGGTCTGTATTGAGTGATGAAGTCTGGGTTCAAGCATTTAGGGATCAAAGAAACTATTGTGTGATTCCAGTATTTGAGAAGAAGACCATCATTGTGAAAGAAACTAGTTATAGTAGCAACTAATTCAGGTTTAATAATATCCCAGAAAGATTGATAAAACAATGTTGTCATACCATCTTCTCCTGGAGATTTCTCTGGGTGCAGACTGAAGAGAGTTGCTTTGATATCCTCCTCTTCTACTGTTTTCATGAGCTGAAGATTCATGTCAGAAGTAACAGAAGGAGAAATTAGCTGAAGGATGGAATCTCATCCCCATGATCCTTCTGAAGTGAAGAGAGCTGAGTAGAAGTCTGTAATATGTTCTTGTATATCCTTGTGAGTGTTGCAGACTCTGTTCTGACTTGTAACAAGTCTAGTGATTGCATTTTGTCTTCTTCTCTGCATAGTGTATGCATGAAAGAATTTTGAGTTGCAGTCACCCTCCCTCAGCCACTGAACTTTGGCTTTTTGTTGCCAAAAGATTTCCTCAGATCTATGGGCAGCTTCAAGCTCTCTTTTTGTGTAAATCCATTCCTTCCAGTTTGTAGTGTTTCTGTTTTCCTGAAGAAGATCCAGCTTCTTTGAGAGATTTGCAATAAGGGATTGGTTCTCAGTTTTGAAAGAAGCACTCCACTTCAGCAAAGCCAGCCTTGTGGTTTTAATTTTCTCTTTCAGAATGAAAAAAGGAGTGCCTGACTGAGGTATGATCCAAGCTGCTTTCACAATATCACCAACACCCTTCCTAGTGACCCACCTTTTGTCAAAGGAGAAATTACTTTTCCTTTTGGATTTACTGTCCCCTATGTGCAAGAACAACATTGAGTGATCAGAGGAGGCTTTGGCCTTAGTAGAAATATAAGCATGAGGGTGATTCTCTAGCCAATCAGGAGAAGCAAAACCTCTATCCAATTTTTCCTCCACCAGACCTTCAGAAAATCTGTTGTTGCACCAAGTGAATTTATTCCCAATCATCCTTATTTCTTCCATTCCCATCAGGTTAGTAAAATTTCTGAACCCTGCCATGCTAGATTCTGACCTAGGGATTCCCCCTCTTTTGTCCTCCATTGAGTTGATGTCATTCCAATCGCCTAGGATATACCAGTTATCTCCCCAGAGTGATTTGGTTGTTTCTAATTCCCTCCATTGATCTTGTCTGATGGTATTTGAAGTGCTTAGGTAAACAAAGATTCCCCATGTTGAGGAAATATCAGCCATTTTGTACTCCACAACAATGAAGAATTGTTGGTAGATAACTTGAGAAATCTGCACTTCAGTATTCCAGCATAAGACTAACCCACCACTCAACCCAACAGGATCTACAATAGCACACATGTTGTCAAAACCCAATTTCCTAACAACTGTTTTCACAAAAGCAGAAGATTTTTTAGTTTCTGATAAAAATAAAAAAAGCGGGTGATGAGTCTTGCAAGAATCTCTGATTCGGGAAACTGTAGAGGGCCCACCCAGCCCTCTACAGTTCCACACCACAACTAGCATTGGGAACTTGGGTGCCAATCTAGGCTGGCCACCCCCACCTTTTTGATTTCAGTTTTCTGTTTTTTCCCACCTTCCTCAGTTAGCTTATCATCATGGTCACCTTCTGGATTTTGAATTTGCTTCTGTCTAGGCCTTTTGCCACTGCTACTTATCTCCATTGTCTCTGAAGCCTACCAGTTCTAGCTGATGATCTTTTCCAAGTTTTGGAAATAGCTTTATGCAAATCATGGACTGGGACTATTTCCTTATTGAGAGAATTTGAAAGAGCTTGTTCTGTTTCCATATCAGAAATCTCTAGGACAACGTTTGGGGTTTTATGTGGGAGAGTTTGTTCTGGGATTGTGAGACTGGTAGAAGGTAGTTTTTCAGTAGGAATTGGGGTTTTCAGAGTTGAAGTATGAAGAGAAGAGGATGCAGCCGAGGTTTGGAATTTATGGTGGGAAGATGAAGCAGGTAAGGGGATTAGCTGATTACTGGCATTGTCTTGACTGAGGGGGGATGTAGGGGTATTGACTGGAGTTGGAGGTGAGACTGAGGCTGCTCTTGGTGGGCTTTGAGATCCTGCATTGTTAGTCCCAGCCCAATGTCGGCTTTCAGTGGCCCGCATCCAATCGCCAAATCGTCCTTCCTTGACTGAGTTTGAGCGGATATCCTCCAGTCTTTTTGAACACTCTCTATCCAAATGACCAATCCAACCACAGTAATGACAGTGGTTTACTAGTTTTTCGTATTTAAAGCTTACAGTGGCTTCTTGGTCGTCCAGTCTGAGCTTAGCACATCGAGGAAGAGGTTCATTCAAATTCACAGCTGCAAGAAGATGCATAATTCTTTCTCCATGGCTTCCTGCTCCCACTATCACAACATTCTTCACTTGTTTGAACACCCTTCATATTTTCATACCCACATCAGTACTAAGCCAGTTGAGGGGTACATTAAAAACCTGAACCCAGAGCTGCAGCTCATGAAATATGAGGTGGTTCATCGATAACCCTGTTTTCCATTATGAGAGGATGGGGTATTGATTTTCGAAAGTCCAGTTGATGCCTTTATTCACTTTCTCCAGATCTTTTCTATTCTGGAAAATGAATTGGAAGAAGTTCTGGCCTAGTTCTCGTACTTCCATAGGCTCACGGAGTTTCCATATGTAGCTCATCGCCCTCTGAACTCCAATCCAAGTAGCTTTTCTGTCACCAATAATTTTGCCGAATAAACTACGCTTACATTCTCCATCACTGAGTTTGATGTTGACTTGGCCCAAATCAATGTAGTTATGCTCCTTTTCCGACAACGAGAATCCTGAAGGTGTTGGGAAAGTTCGTCATCTTGCCCCGTGCAGTAACTGGACCCCATCGGAAACCCTACTCGCCACTAATGCTCAAGCAGATGAATCAGACACTCTAATACAGGGAAAAAGATAGAGAAGATAATGAATAATGGAACGAGAGAAGAAGGAATTGAAGCAGTCCCGGATCAAACTGCAAAACGCTCTCCGGCGAGAGAATATCGGACGCTCTCAAGCGAGAGAATGTAGTTGGAGAACCCTAGCATTATAAAAAGAGATTTCTTCCCCCTTCTCGTAAAAAAAAATAAAAATTACCCGCAGCTCTAAATTTCTCCTTCTGCTCGCGTCAATAACAGAGAGACAGAAAATCTGCTTGTCATCATCCTCGGACCATCGTTCTTCCTCTCGCCATATTTCTCTCTCGCTAATTATCGTCCGTAGCAGAAAAAAATAAAAAAAAGAGAAGAAGGGTGGATCATCGCACCACCATCCTCATTGCACCATCATCATCATCACCCTTGACCAGGACCACCGCCGAGCAGCAACTGGTCCATCACCCCCGACGAGAAGCTCCTCGTTCGTTCAAGCCATCGCAATCACCTCAAGTTCACGAGTCACAGATCGTAGTCCCGAGCAGTCCACATCGGCGCGACCCTCACCCCCTGTTCGTGAAGTAGCCCTGCTCGTCTGCACGCCCATTGAGTCCCAGGCCCGTGTTCCATTCACAAGCGCTCCGACGACCTCCGTTCAGTTGCTGTCAAGCCGTTCAGGCCGTCGCCCACCTTGGGAACCCGCTGCCACTCGATCTCGGAGCTCCATCGCAGTGCCTCCTCACCGGCGGACAGCCTCCCGTTCACCGTGTCCTGTCGGCGAGCCAAACGTAGTTGTCGATCCCCCTCGTGTGGTCCGTTTCAACCCTGGCTCGACCCTTTCGCGTGTCCCCATCTCGAGAACGATACCCGTACTGATTATCCCCCTCGGTTTGATGTGTTTATATTCGTTCTTGTGATAGGGTTATAATTAATTGATTATATGTATAGTTGTGTTCGATTTTCTTGAGATCATGCGAGGTATCATTTAATTTGTGAAAGTGCTGTAGGATTGGAACCTTGTTGATTTCCTTGGCCTTGTGGCAAAGGCCTTAGACGAGTTAGTCGAGTTTCGAGTCATTTATGATTTTATCGAACCCGTATAGTTGCTGAAATTTGATAAATTAATGATAAATTGTATACTGCTCCGATTGCCATGAAATTTTATAAATGATTTCCTGTGATGATATTACATGTCGTGTAAGAATTTCAGAATTTAATTCCATCTGTAGCTATTTTAATTAATTGTTTAGAGTTATGGGCAGAATCTTGTAAAATGCATATAAAATCGAATTACGCTCCAAAACTACTGATTGTTTAATATGTTGTTCCACTGATATTTTTGTATGTTATGCATAAGTTTCATAATTTTTAGACTTAGTTTTCTAGGGTAAATAAATATTCGTGATTTCCTGCTGAATTTTTTTTTTAATTATGATAAGTCGACCAGTTGCTATAAATTGCTGAAAATAGGTGAGAATTCTCTTTTTATGATGTATTACTTGGCATATAATTTTAAGAATTTAATTTGGTCTGTATGATAGGTTTATAAATAAAATTCTTTTTCGGCTGACAATTGTCAAAATTTTCATAATTCGTGTGATAGGTGGTTAAAGCTGGAATTTTTATATGTTGGTATTCACATGCTGTAGTTTCTTGAGTAAAAATATGAAGTGTTAATTCGTTCATATGGTTCAACTTTGAAATTTTGCTCGTATTTGCTGAAAACTTGCATGAATTTTATAAAATTGTATGTTCTGAGTTAAAGGATGAGATTTGATGGTTTTGCTAAGTCCAGTGAGTTGGATTTTATGTTAAAGTTTCAGAACCTAACTCATTCGCTTGCCTGATTACCTTGAAATGGTTTATTTGCCCTTACTTGGTTTCGTGTCTAGTCCAAGTGTTCCATTGTCCACAGAACTTCACGAACGACTTAGTTGAATCAAGTTCGTTTAAGTATGATTTGTGACTTTCTTTTAAAGTCAAGAGAAGTATTGATCTTAGTATCTTGACTTATTATAGATGCTTGACGAGCCGAGCTCGCCGCTTACCCTTTATTGTTAGTGCTTATCACTTGTTGTCTCCAGGTGGGTTTTATTTATAAAATTACTATGCTGTGAATATTGTTTAAGTTCTGTTGTAAGGTATGATTGAGGTATGCATGTGAACCAGTAGCCTTCGATGTGAGTCGTGCCGGCCGTCGAACAGTTATCCCCGTAGCTATAGAACGTACCTGGTGGGTAGTCTCCTTTATTTATGTATTATAGGAGCCGTAAGACCCGAGGCATGGGTCCTCGGCTGGTGATCCTCGTTTGTATGTCCAAGGCGTAGGTCTTTGCCGACGAGGTGGATTACTCCTACTGGCTGGGCATCGTTGTAAGACTAAGGCGTAGGTCTTGGCGTTCGAATTGTGTATCAGAGTAGTCTATGCGTTGGTGTGCACATGAGAGTTGACTCTGGGATAGGAGATGGGATAGAATAATGATTCGTATACATGCTGCGACCATACCTGATTGATTTATGATTATTGTTATATTATTGAGATTAACGTTTACTGCATAGTGGTTAGCACCACGGTTTCCAATTGTGCTCACCCCCACTTGCTCTTCATGGATGCAGGTTAGTATTGCGGCACGGCGGAGAGATGCGTGTGGTGGTCAGAATAATTGATATTTCTTCCGCCTTGAAACTGAATATTGCAATTGTTATTTTCCTTATTATTGAATATTGGATTAATGTTTTCCTTATTATGGGATATTGGATTATTGGTAGTGAGTGTGCTCCCTCGGATATTATGATTATTGGATCCCGAATTTGAGTATTGAGATTTTATCATTGATATATGAGGATTGATGAATGATTGAATAGTGAGATTGATGTTAAGTATTGATGAACGTTTTGAAAATGAGTAGCGCCTCAAGTGATTTAGAAGATAAATTTGAAAAATTTATTCTGATTTTCGGCAAATAAAAGTGGGGCGTTGCAAGCACGGACTTTTGACCCACTGACCTCTTGAAGAGATGATCTTCATGAGCTCGTCGTTACCATTTGACAAGTGGGGGATGGACATAGTTGCCCCCTTTCTGTAACACCCCGCTTTCTTACTAGTATCAGAGTAATTTTTTGTAAATTCTTTTCTAAAAATACTTGTAAATTTACAAAATCATAACTCGGGATGCTACTGTGAAAACTTATCTGTACTGAAAATCAGTTTCCTTTAAACTGGGTCTAACAACTAGGTTAGACATAAAGAAAACATAATATCAAACAAGCATGCAATACTGGATCCAAGTCACACTAGGGGACTGGGTAAAACTGATAAACTGAAAATACTAGCTTGCAAGTTTGAAACTGAAACGTCAGCGAAAGTAATAACGTGGCAAAATATGTATACAGACTGAATGTATAAAAACCCTCAAAACGACAACTGTCCGACTCCATGACCACAACCACCACTGCTGAGCTCACACCTCCGGCCTGACCCATTCATCTGAAAAAGAAAAAGTAGTGGGGCATGAGCAGAAAAGATCACTGTGCTCCGCAGAAACCCAAACTAAAGTAAACAGCAATAATAATAACCATATCATGATCGTCAGTATATATATAAACTGAACTGAAACTGAAACTAAAACTGAAAATGGAACTGAAATCGAAATCATTCTAACTCCAGGACACTGTGTACGGTAACCATGTGCACACTATGATGGCATATTAAGGCAACTGGCCTCCACCAGAACTTAGGATGGCAAGGCAATTGGCCTCCATCCTAAGTGGATTATATATACATATATATACATAACTGAACCGAACTAAATCATACTAACTCTAGGACACTGTGTCTGGTAACTATGTGCACGCTCTGATGACATATTATGACATATAGCCTCCACCAGAACTTAAGATGGGTTAGAGAGAAGCGACTCAATCTCTCACTAGGAATTCACGTTCTTAGAGCTCGCATTTTTCGAGCTTTCATTCCAAAATTTCTTGGCTAATACTTGGAGTAATTAGTTATTGCTTACATCACTCTACATTTGCGGCATGAAATCAGGGTTACTCGACACTTTACTACAGTAATTTCGGTTCTAGCTTCTTACAACCCATGGGCAAATCAAAGAGAAAGCTTAAGTACCGGAAATTGACGGAAGAAGAATGTTCCAGTCATTCCAACGAACATGACGACGTCTCCCTTGAAGACTCGGATGAAGAACAATTATTGACAGCTGAAATGGAAATGATATTGAATGCCGCTTATGGAACCAATGGAAATATTGATCTAGTTACTAATGAGGGTGGTAATGAGGCTATTAATGAGCCCATAGTTGCTACAAAACAGGTTGGGCAAGAGAAGGAACAAAATCAATAT